AGGAAGGTAGGAACTTCAAGGCGGGGTGGGAAGAGATGGCGGAGAGTCGGCAGCAGTGGAAAAGCAAGACGATCCGATCCCCATGAAAACTGGTGGACGGCGGGGAGCCAGACTGAGTGCTTGTTAGGTCAAATTCGCACCATGGATCGGTCTGTGATGTAGGGTTTCCAGGGTTTTCGGAACAGTCTCGCCGAGTCGGGTCGGACGCTGTCGGGCCTATGGTGCACGTTTTCCTATATATATTATATATTTCTTTCTCCAGTATTTTCTTTCAACCTTTGGTGGTTGTTCCAAAGTCCGCGCGACCGTCCCTGTGTTGTAGGAGTCTCGCAGTCGAATCTTGTGGAAGCTAAGAGGCGCGCAATATGGGTGAGTTATCCAACCATCGGGATTGCCGAACGCGATTCGCAGCAGTCGTTTGGTAGCCCGTTTGGTTGCTCTTTTCGGGATCGTGCGGATACTTGAATGAACATAACAAACACTTCCCGTTGTGGCGAGATAAGCGCGAAAAAAAGTCGGCCTTCGAGGCTCCTGTAGGGTAGAGAAAAAAGGTAGGAACTGTGGCACCTGCTGTTCGTTCGAACGTCCTTCAGTCTGAAGGGGGAGAGAGAGAGAGAGAGAGAGAGAGAGAGAGAGAGAGAGAGAGAGAGAGAGAGAGAGAGAGAGAGAGAGAGAGAGAGAGATTTGTGCAACGCAGTTTGTTCTCTGGTACGACGGCGACCACCGCGGTTTGTTGTCGTGTAGGACGGCGACCGGTTGTGGCATCTTGGACTCGAGATACGCCGCTGCTCCGCCCTGAAGTAGATCACTTTATTCGATTCTTGAATGAGGTATTCACACTTGGCTTTGTTTGATTGACTATTGTGATTGCTAACTGTGTGTCTTCTCTCAAAGTGTCCATGAACGTTTGTTAACCTATACTAGAGGTAGGTGCGTGGGCTTCCGGGAGAAAAGTGTTTGCTTGTGGTCTAAGAGGAGAGAGAGTAGGAGCAGTCTGGGAGGGATTCTCGAAATATGTGCGCATAAGCGTGCGCCGCTGCGCCTCGGTGAGGGGGCTCTCTTTGCCGGCAAGCAAGCAGAGAGGAAAACGAAGTTCTTGTCAAGCGGCGTACTCCACCTATATTTCGATGTGTGTGTGTGTGTGTGTGTGTGTGTGTGTGTGTGTGTGTGTGTGTGTGTGTGTGTGTGTTT